GGGACTCGATCCCAGGACTCCAGGATCACGACCCGAGCTGAAGGCAGTCACTCAACCAACTGAGCCACCCAGGCGCCCCCTTTTGGCTGCTTTTTAAAGGCAACCCCCATGAAGGACAGGCTCTAGAATGGGGGATCTGGTCAGTAGAGGCAGTCAGCTTGGGTGCTTCCCTGCCTTCCAAGCTAACTAGCTTTGTGCAAGTGGGTTCCTCCACCTGTAAAATGGGGATGGCCACAGTGCCCACCTCACAAGGGTGGTGTGAGAATGAAGCCAGATGGAAATGCTTGGCTGGATGGCTGACACAGATGAAGTCCCTTAATCGGTGTTATATTCATACAGAGTTCGGTCTTGACCTGAGCTGAAGGCAGACGCTTAATGACTGAGCCACCCAGGCGCCCCAAAACTCCTTATTTTAAAAAGAGAGTATCCACCACTTCATTGTAGGTGCTAACATCAGAAGGGTTGGTATGTTTGAAATGTTTACCCTTCAAAACGGTTTCTCTTCTAAGAGGGAATTGGATTTGATTTTAGCACACTGAAAGAGAAAGAAAACTATTTGAGCCAAATAAAATTGACACTGAGTGATTTTAGGCTTTCACATCAATGTAGGTCCACCAAAACTAAACCCCAAAGAAGCTGTTTTTTGGTTTTTTGCTTTTTTTAAAAAGAATATCCAGTGGTGGTCATTTTTATTTTAAGTTAATCAGACACAGTTTTTTGGGGTAGGTGAGAGCCAAGCTCTGGGATCTCTGCAATTTCTACAATTTCATTTGTTCCTTTGTTATCTTTTTAGCCTAACTGACTAACCACTGAGTCTTTCTGGCTTTGAAAAGTGTTGGAAATGGGCCAAAGGCAGAACTGCTTGCAGCTCAGCCCGTCCCCAGCGGGGCCCAGGACTTGGAGACGCCTCCTCCACGTACCTGGGCCCGGCTTCTGAGCTGACTCATATCCAAGTGCACGCCTGCACCGGCCCGGCCTGGCTGCCTCCTGAGGCAGGGGTGGGGGAGGAGCGCGAGAGGAGCTCCGCTGTCTTCAGGGCAGAGTGGGTCAGGGCAGGCCTGGCCACTCGGGAGGCGGTGAAGCCTGACTGGTGTTTCCTCTGGGCACATCTGTGATTCTAACAGAAAATAGGAGCTTCGGCCTCATGCAGACCACAACGGCTTCTCCCTCCCTTCCCCTTCCAGGCTAAGCCTCCTTTTCAGGTGTTTCTCCGTCAGACCGCGAGGGCCCTATCTCAGGACCCGAGACACTGGCTTCCCAGAGGCCCTGAAGCCGCAGAAGCACTGCAGAGTGGTGCACGCAGCCAGGGACAGACGACCCGGGGCGCGGGTGACGCGGCTCCCGTCCGCTGGCCAAAGCTGAGGTCCACACGTGGGGCCTGCCTCTGCGAGAAATACGGCCTGTGTTAAGGAACCTGCTGCCTGGTAGACACCTAATAAAGTGGTAACTAGAACTCATGGAGTAAGAGTGAAATGGGAGACAGATTTGATGGAGCTTTGACATCTTTGGTTCTTAGAAAGTGCATTCAAGCCATTGACACAAGTAACCTTGTAGACACATTGTTGAAGGAGACATTTTTGATGAAAACAGGACTTCATGTGATATTCATCCAATCAGTGCAGGAACACAGGCCCACCTGAGAGTCCATGAGATGCACTGACAGAGGCCCCAGGGTCCCATCGTTTTTTTAGGATTTTAGGATCTGATGGAAAGCTTGAGTAGTGACGTTGGTGAGGATGCTCATTCCCCAGTGCCAGCTGACCGAGGTGGCTGTCCCCCCTGCACCTTTTCTTCATCTGCAGGAGGAAAGGAATGTAGTAATCTGACCTAGGGTGAGACCCTCTGAACAGATTTCTTAGTTTGGAGTCACATAGTGTTGTTGCTGATATTGTGGATTCTTGTTTTCATATGATTTCAGGTATGTTAAGCTACTGTGACAAATACAGTGAAGGCATGCAACGTGTCCTAAAGACTTTTGGACCCATTCCAGACTTTTCCGGGGCCACAGTTGAAAAAGTTAATCAGGTATGTAGACTCCTTGTAGAGAATTGTGCTGGCTGAGCCACTGGTGAGGTTTTATTTGTAGCCAGAGTCTTTGCCTTTGATTTTGGTGGTTCCTCATTCCTAACTTTGCCTGTCCACAGTCCTGTCATGGTCATAGGTGACCAATGAACAGGTAGCTCATCTTGATTGTCTTAGAGGAGCTGTAGGCCTCTATGGATTTGGAAAGTTAGTTACTTGAGGGTTTCCTAAGCTTTTGTCTTCGAAAGCAAATTCACAGTTTGCATAAATAGGAACAGTTACTCTCCTGGTAAATGAGTTCCTCTTCGTTCTCTGGTTTTTTTCTTTCATTTACTTTTCTTTTCATTTCATTTCGTTTCCTATTCCCAGGCCATGTGTGTGAAAGTTCCCGATGATCCAGAGCACTTAGCTGCCAGAAGGCAGTGGAGGGACGAGTGTCTTCTGAGACTTGCCAAGTTGAAAAGGCAGATGCAGTCCCAGTAGCTACTGTCCTTCTTCAGTGGGAGTCCTTGTTGGCGGAATTACAAGCACTTAATCCAGCCTCTCTGAAAGAGTGGGAAGCCAGGTTGCCTTCCCAAAGATTCGGAATGAGACCTCCTCCCTCTGGCAGGCCACAGCCGTGGGGCTGTGGGGTCTTCTGATCATGCCCTGGCCTTGGGTGTCACAGCTGCCCTGGGTTCCCAGGGCTGTCGACTCCCTGCCACCTGGGCAAACAAGAGAGCAAATCGTCTGAAGATTTTTACCTTCTATTTTCAGTGTGATTCTGTGCGGCTACGTTTTGTAGCCAATGATTGTGGTTTCATGTTTGTTTTAATCTGTAGCAAAGTAGTTTTGTGATTATTTTCCAATCCGCTTCTGAGTACCCTGTGGCCCTGCATTGATGAGGCACCTGCCTTCATTTTGTTAATGCCTCTTCGGAATAAAAATTTTTGATTGCATAAAGATTTCCTTTTTCTTCTGGTCTGTCTGAGAAAGACAGTGGTTGTTTTGTTTTGTTTTTTTACTATTTTATTTATTTATTTATTTGACAGAGAGGGAGAGCAGAAACACAAAGCAGGGGGAGTGGGAGAGGGAGAAGCAGGCTTCCTGCTGAGCAGGGAGCCCAATGGGGGGCTCGATCCCAGCACCCCGGGATCATGACCTGAGCCAAAGGCTCAGCTTAACGACTCAGCTTAACGACTGAGCCACCCAGGTGCCCCGAGAAAGACAGTGTTTGATTCTGATGATTGACATATTTCAGAGTGGCCATGATGAGTGAATAAGCAAAAACTTTCTTCTGGGTCCTTTGTCAGCCATTCAGTAAAAATCCGCCAATTTGGGCTAGTGTTTCCCAAAGTGGATTCCACAGTGAGTACCCTGGGGCCCTATGGCCAGATGTGTTTGGGAAACTCCTCCCACCGCCCCACTCTTGGGCACTCACGTGTCTACAGGAAATTAAAGGCTCCGAAATTCTACAGTAAATATATCTGTTTAACCCAACACCCCATTATCTTCTTTAACATGGAGTCTTGTCCTAGTATTAGTTCCCCAAATACTCTAGCAAACAATAGTACAGATAACCCCACCCCCCGTGAGGCCAGCATGTCACAGTAGCTTAGATCACAGGATGCTACCACAGGGCTCTCTGATAGCTCCCAGCCCAGGGACACTCCACCCTTTCGCTTTCAGGTGACCAGCTTCCCAGGTTCACCCAGTAGGGAGAAGCCGTTTCAAGGCTATGGTGTTGTGAGAACCAGTGTCCCCGTGAGGAACTGTGTGGAAGTCGCTATTCTGGCTCCGTGTGCACATACACTCATCCATCACACTCATTTAGGCGACAACATCTTTTGAGCAGCTGTGATATCAAGCACATAGTCCCTGCCTTTCAGAAGTTTACTGTAAGACAACAGACTAGTAGCATAAAATACGATAGTGCCCCAGAGGATCATATATCCAGGAGACCATAACTCACCACCCCTGGGTGTGCCCTAGAAGGTCTCACAGGAGACAGCCTTTGAGCCAAGTCTTGAGTAACAGGTGAGAGTCAGCAAGCTTTCCTGGCAGAGGGAGCAGAGTGGAGAAGGCTGCTGGGTGCCCCGGGAAGGGGGGTGGTTCCCTGCACCCGAAAAGAGAGCTCTGTGGATGGCTGCTGGGCCCAGATACAGGTGCTGAAGAGTGCTGGGCTCATACCAGTGTGTAGCCCTCACCTAAAGCGCTGGGGAACCTAAATGGTCTGCAGGTTGTGAGTGGCCCTGTGCTCTTGGGATTTCAGAAAGTCCCTTCTGGCAACAGAAGGGACTAAACTGGAGGCGGAGGCTGTTGTGGTCCAGGTAGGGGCTGATAAGGCAGTGAACTCGGGAAGTATCCTGGGGGTAGAACTGACAGCCATCACTGACCTGAGAAGGGGGCCACCAGAGCTTCCTAAGTTGGCCGCTCTGGCGCCTACGCAGATATCCATGCCGTTTTATAAAATAAGGAAATTAGGAAGAAGGGGCAGGAAATCTGAATGTCTCACGTATTAAACTTCACTAAAAAAGAGAATGTAGCAAGCCGTGAAGGACGTTTTCAGCCTTGAAAACTCTGGTTGAGTTTTAGATGCTCCTTAAGCTTTGATGACTCAACCCGTAACTCTGTGACCTGCTGGCAGGGTCGTGAACTGAGCAAGTCAAGCCCTCACTTTTCCCTCCAGCTTCTGGCTCCCACTCCTTTCCTTTCAACGTACCCCACGCGCCCTCCTGTCTTCCCAGAATTGCCACACTGTTCTCACGGCCTGTCTCAGTCCTTCTCTTCATGGGCCCGTGGAGGCCGCCAGAGTCTCTGGACCCAGGTTTGGAGTCCCTGATAAGAAGATGACTTCACTGGGGGATGTGGGGTGTTGGTGGATGTCATATGTGGCCTGTTGGTTTCACAGCACCAATGAGCATGGGCATTCCAGGAAATGTGGCCAAGGGAGCCATTCGGCCCAAAGCTGCAGGCCAGTACGAGGAGCAGCAAGGCGGGGCGTGGAAGACAGAAGGGGGCAGCCCGGGGGCACACTCGTCTATGTGTCTGAATTCTGTTTTCCCCCCTGTGCTGTTGGGCCATGCAGCAGAGGTACACTCAGGCTCTGCCTATAGCCGTCACGGTGTGGGACGAGGAAGGGGCACACGAGGGATTGGCCACAACAGTGACGAGAGAGCCTGTGTGTTCATTCACGGCCGCGGGCCGAAAAAATGACAGTGTTCCATCTTGAGAGTGGCAGAGAGCACGTCTGTGGTCTGGAAGGAAGGCAGGACGCAGCCCTGGAAACGGGACAGAGCCAGGAATTGGTCCGACGGGGACCCAAAGGAGGACAGGTAGGTGAGCCAGCCGCACACAGAGGTCTCAGAGATACACTGTAAGGCTTACAAATGAGCATCTTCTGCTTTTCAGTTCGTCGTCCCGGTGGGCTGGCTTTCAAGGGGCTTGCTTGCTTTGGTGAGTTTAGCAAGTGTATGATTCATGGACCCGTTTTCCCACGAGCAGTCTCTTTCTGTTCCAGCAGCCCATCCAAGACACCGCATTCATTCAGTCACCTCCGGTCTGTGAGTTTCTCAGTCTGGCCTTGCTTTTCGTGACCCTGACAGAGCCCTGGCCAGGTTTTCTGCAGAATATCCCCAGTCTGGGTTTGTCTGGTGTTTTTCTCATGCTCAGACCGGGATTAGGCTTTGGAAAGAATGCCCCAGAGGTGAAGAACTCTTCTTGTCACATCGTATCAGGGACTACGTGATAGTCACATGGGATCCCTGGGGATGTTAGCCTTCATTGGAAGTGTTTGCCAGGTTTCTGCACGGTGAGTTACCATTAGAAAAGAAGAAATTAACTGGAACCACTAGCCCAAGCGGGTATTGTCCTGACTGGTTTCTGAGTCATTTTCTCTGAATGGCAAAGCTGTCAGTCTCCATCCACAGTGCGGTGTTCACACAGTTCCTTGCTCGTTCGTCTCTGCTTCCAGGTGCCTTCCTTCCCAAAGGCCCAATCTACTTGCCGTGCACACGAGGATCCAAATGGTCTCCTGGTTCCTCCTGCTTCAGTTTAGCAGCTTAGCACTCTTGCAGGACTGGAGGAGGTACCGGCTGCCAAAGAATAGAGACCATATATTGTTCCCACGGAAGTCAGAGAAAGATGTCCGAGACTGGGCTAGCAGTGGAGTCCCTATGATTTGTGGCTGGTTCTTGCTCAGTTTGGAGGTACAGAAACTTTTGTTAGTGCACGTGTAGTTGATGACTTATAAGATGATTTTTCTCATGCTCATAAGGCTCACAAGACTAAAGTAAACACCAGAATGCCAGTTTCATTCATTTTTGATTGATTCATCAATCAAACATTTATTGAACATCTACTGTGTGCCAGGTACTGTTTCAAGAGTTGGGGGATGCACTAATAAATGAAACAGGCAAATACCACCTGTTGGTCTCGAGCTTATACTGTAGTTCTAGTGGGAGAGAACAAACACAAACCCATCAATAGACAAACTACAGAATATGTCAGAAGAGGACCAGTTATGTAGCTGAAAATAAAGCAGAGGAGAGTAATAGGGAGTACAGGTAGTGTGTGTGTGTGTGTGCGTGCGCACGCACGTGGGTATAAATGTGCACGCATTAGGGAAGTAATCAAGGAAGGGTTGATCAGAAGATAGCATTTGAGCAGAGACCTAAAAGAAGTGAGGGATAGAATCATGGAGCAATCCAGAAAAGAAGGACGCCGCAGGGAGAAGGGACAGAAGTGTAAAGGCCACGCAGTGGGAGCTGAGCCTGCACAGCCAAGGCTCAGGCTGGGGTCCACGTGGCTCGGTGCCGGGAGGGAGGCAGTGGTCAGAGATGAGGCACAGGGGAGAGGGGGGTGCTCTTGAAGGCCAAGATGAAGACTGGCTTTTTCTTTGCACAAGGTGGGAAGCCAGAGAGCTTTTTTTTTTTTTTTTTTTTTGGTGGTAAGAATACTTTGTATCTTAGCATGAGATCTACCTTCTTAAATTTTTAAGCATACAGTATGGTATTGTTAACTGCGGGCACAGTGTTGTATAGCAGATCTCTAGAACTTACTCATCTTGCATAACTGAAACTTTACACTCATTGAACAGCAACTCCCCATTTCTCCCTCCTGCAGCCCCTGGCAACTGCCATTTTCTCTGCTTCTATGTGTTTGACTATTGTAGATACCTCACATAAGTGGAATTACAACATTTTTATCTTTGTGACTGGCTTATTTCACTTAGCATAATGTCCTCAAGATTGATCCATGTTGTAGCATATTGGCAGGATTTCCTTCTTTTTAAGGCTGAATAATATTCTGATGTATGTGTATACCACATTTTCTTTCCATTCTCCTGTCAATGGACATTTGGGTTGTTCCCACATCTTGGCTATTATGAGTAATGCTGTAATGAACACAGGAGTGCAAATATCTCTTTGAGATTCTGATTTCAGTTCTTTAGATAAATACCCAGAAGTGGGGATTGCAGGATCATAGGATAGTTCTATTTTTAAATTTTTGGGAAAACTTTATGCTGTTTTTCATAGCGGCTACACCATTTTACATTCCCACAAAAGGTGCACAAAAGTTCTAATTTCTCCACATTTTTGCCAATACTTGTCATTTTTTTTTCTTGATGAAAGCCATTCTAGCAGGAATGAGGTGATATCTCATTGTGGTTTTGATCTGTATTTCCCTGATGATTAGTGATGTTGAGCATCTTTTCATAGACCTGTTGGCCTGTCTTTGGAGACATGTCTATTCAGTTCCTCTACCCATTTTTAAATCAAATTATTTGTTTTGTATTATTGAGTTGTATGAGCTTCTTACATTTTTGAATATGAATTCCTTAACAGATTTTGGTTTGCAAATATTTTATTCCATTCTATAGGTTACCTTTTCACTCTGTTGATTGTTTCCTTTGCCGTGCAGAAGCTTTTAGTTTAATGTAGTCCCACTTGTCTATAGTTTCCTG